TGAGTAAAGTTATATATATTAAATAGTATTGGTCCCAGCAAGAAACCTTGAGGTACTCCACAGTCGATCACCTTATCACTGCTCAATATATCATCGATCCTCACTGCTTGGCTCCTTCCTGTTGAATAACTTTCAAATAATTTCAATGAGTTACCCCGTATTCCGATATCCGATTTTTTTTTAAACAGAGTCAAGGCCTCAGTTACTTTTGAAGTTAGAGTAAGTATATCATTTTGGGTTGACATTTTTTCTCTAAATCCGAATTGATTTTTGGAAATCAGATTGTATTTATCAAGGAAAGAGATGAGCCTTTCTTTGATAATCTTTTTAATGATGAGAATGATGAGATGAGTGAATAATGAGATAGGACGATAATTTGTGATAATAGATGTGTCGTCCCCTTTCTTCAACAGTTTCGTAAACTGCTCTTGGTGGAATCAAATGTGCCAAGTCACTTGAATACTTCTTGATACTCGTAGAATAGAGAAAAATCTCCAACCTGTGATGTTCGCGTCTCCAATCAGGCAGATGGATCTTTTCTGGATGGAATCCAGCAGCTTCACGGCATGTTTGGGGGCGGAGCTCCATACATGAGAATAATACTTCAAAGAAGGCCTGATCTGAGCTTTATAAAGCATCAAAAGTTGCTGACGTATGAACATTTCTCTGGTTTGAAACAGTGCTACAAGACATATTGGTGTCCATTTTAATCCCCAACAAACTTATCGAAGAAGAAAACGAAATTGTCATATGCTATTCTTTCGCAAAAGAAATTCAAGGAGAAGACTACTTTAAGTTCTTCAGTATGGTCTGAAACAGGGAGACGCGCTGGCATGTCTCCTCTTCGATATTCCCTTGGAAAAGGCAGTTAGACAAACAAATATTAGATTGAATGGAACTATCTTCGGAAGATCAGTGCAAATTCCCACATTTGCTGACGATATAGATATAGTGGGTAGAACTATGAGAGACGTAGTATGGGATTTCACAAGATTTACCGACACGGTAAGTGAACTAGCACTAGGAAATAATCAAATACATGTTGGAGCTAGAAACCCTCATAATGTTCAACTGAGGATCCGAATTAACGAATATACTTTTGAGCAAGTTACATAATTCATATATAATGGATCGTCAGTAAATACAACAAACACAACAATCGGCAAAATTAAAAGACGCATAGCAATACGCAGGCACTCCATGGATACCATGGACACTCCATGGTCTTCAGAAACACTTGAGAAAAAGAAGCATAAAATGTGGGGTGGAGCTAAACATTTACATGACCCCAGTAAGACCGTTTTCAACATATGAGTCTGGAATATGTACTCTATGTCAAAACGACGGGAGACCATTCGGAATCTTTGGGAGAAAAATGCTTATGAATTTGACGAAGCAGTTAATGAAAATAGGCGATAGTGTCGGAGGTGTAACTTTGAGTTATATCAGCTGTACACCGATCCAGATATTGTGAAATGCAGAGGCTCAGATAATCTGGGTACATTTTAAGGTTCTCAGATGATGAACACACGAATAGTTCGACAGTCTCAAACCCAGAGGGCGGAAGAAGTAGGAGACGGTCGCGTGGAAGATGCTGAAGGTGAACATATAAAGAAAAGTTGCTAGTAATCGACGGAAAGGGCAACAACTCTGCGAACAAAACAAAATCCACGAATAATTGTTGCGCCATTCATTATGATATCTTGTTTTTCTCCAATTTTTTCATGACACTCATTCCATCATTTCTGTTCTGATACCTACTGGTTTGACCAGATCCTTTGTAGGATGTTTGTTATATTATTTATTACTATGTTGCTTCCTCCTGAACTATTTTAGATACAATGTTTCACTGGCTAATCATATTTTTGTCTATAGAAAAAAAAATAGCTGAGAAATTGTATTGATACTTATCTTGCTTTCTGAAAGCTACTGTCTTTGGCATGACATTATCTTTGAATTTATGGACCGACTCTGAGTGGGAAACATCTGTTTACCGAAAACTCACTCACATGGGACAGTATATGAACCACGAATCAAACCACCATCCATCGACTAAAAGAGAAATCATCAAGACTCTATTGTACCGTGGTATCGGGCTCTGTAACATGAAGCAAGGTCTCGAGAAGGAACTGGACATCATCAAAAAAGATCTTTAACAGAATGGCTACTCCAAAGCGATGGCGGAACAAACTTTGGCTGAAAGACAGCAAGATCCTCGCAAGGAAGAGAAGCCGTCACAACCAGTGCTTACACTTCCCTACATCAGAGGATTATCGGAATTGACGAGGACAACTGGGTCCAACATCGGAACCTGCTTCAGATCCGGAAACACTATACGTAGCAGCCTCATGAAAACCAGGCCACCAAATGCAGACTGCGATTCCAAGAATTGCATTTACCGGATACTTTGTGAGTGCGGAAAATCCTATATCGGTGAAACTGAGAGGCTATTGAATGTCTGCATTGCCGAGCACAAGAAACACAAACAGCGAGGGAAAACCAGCAAATCAGGAATAGCAGAGCATATTTAGACCTATAAACATAACATCGAGTGAGATTATACACAGGGAGGAACACTGGTTTAGGAGGAAATTCAAAGAAGCCGCATACATGTTGCCCAACAATGTATTCAGCTAAGCTATGCAGAAATATTCAACTTATGGAAACCCATAATCATGCGAAAAATGGCCTACTCCCACAAACGGTCATCTCCCGCTAAACCGGTGAAGCGCTCAGAGGAGATAAGTGAAAGTACTCGAATGACCCATAAATAGTCATCTCCCGGATCAATTAGCCCAGTCATCACCCGAAGACGATTGTGGATACTAACAATCGAAACGTCGTGAAGTAACTTGGCTTGGAATCTCTCAATTTTTTATTTTTATTCAATTGTTCTATATTTTATTTCACTGTAATTTCATTTCAGATTATTCTGCTTGATATTATTGTTTTTTTTTCAGCTATTCTTTTCAATTCTGCATTTGTATCGGTTCTTTCAGGGATTTTGAATCATTTAATATAATGTTAGACAACTAATGTCTTAGACCGAACTAATGAAATTCAACGCTTCAAGAACCATATTTTATTAAAACAACGATAAAAATGAAATAAAAACAACAATAAAAATTAATTGGCGCTCCGGGGCGACTTCATTGATTCCAGTGGCGCATTTGCTTTTTCAGCTGCAGGAAAACCCGGAAAAACCTGCAGATGATGTGGTACATCATCTGAAGATCTTGATCCAACAATGTCATGGATTGGTTACTTCCTAATATTGAGTTAGATAAATGTGGTCATATTGATAGAACGATTCAGGTAAGTCAGAGTTTAATTTCAGTTTTTTTTTGTGCAATGCATACAAATATGGAAATTGAAATATTGAAAGTGAAACTTTTTTTCGACTACAGGGAATAATATTTCAGCTAAACTATTTGAAATATCATACCTACCTACAGATAAGCTCAAAACTACAGTTAAAGTAACTGAAGTTATTCTGAGATATGAAAAAAATTGACTT